GGACCTCCCATCACCTTTAACTCCTGAAACTAACTCTGTGACAGGACATTGAATGTATCAAAGTGCACCGTTTCCTTAAATCTCATCCTCCTGAGACCCTGCGTTCTCACATGAGGATGCTGATGTTTTAGAGAACTGCTCATCACAGAAAGCTGACATTTAGTTTTTACTGTAATTGGGACCTTCAGGCCCCAATTTGCAACGAAAAATATAAAATGCAAAAATCAACCTACTGTCCTCACATGAGGACATCTTTTTTTCTCAAACTACTTCCTGTACCATGACAAAGTCTAGGTATTTAACTCATTAGGTCCTGCTGACCCCAGATACTTTGGAGAAATGGAAAACCAACTTAAGCTCGGTCTTTTAACTGATGTTTGAGTTGCTCCAGATTACTGATGTCTTCAGAAGCTAAATGTTAGAATCCAAACTTTATCTCCAGGATTAAACTGATTTATTCTCACTTTCATTTAAAAGTCGGTCATTCAGGGTTCTGTAACTCTTAAACTCTTTTGTGTTGAAACAGCTCTAACTTTGTTCTTGTCTTTAAAGGAGGAGATTACACCAACGATATGAGCTGCTCCATGAGGAATAATTTCATCTGCGCCAAGGCCCTTTAGCTCCGCTCTGACCATGTGACCCCCCCCATGATGTCACTTCCTGCAGGACGTCAAGCCTCGATGACATCTCTGTTAGAAGACAAACTGACGAATCTGATCAGAAATAAATGAATATTGTCCTCAGCAGTCTGTCCCAGCTGTTGTCTTGTTTGATGTTCTGAGAAATGATAATCTGGTTTTATACAGTTTCATTTAAATGTTTTAATTTAATGTGGAGCTAAACACAAACAGCTGAACATACACCAGCAAAAACCCAGATCAGTAAGATCAATCTGTTTGATCAGTTTGATCAGCTTTTCCCACCAACGGGGGGGGGGGGGGGGGGGGGGGGGTGAAGTGGGCAACATACAGTGACCTCAAGCCTTTGACAAAAATAAACTTCTAAGCAACAGAAAACGTAGGAGACATAGATTCCACAAATGACAGTTGTGGTCAGTTTACATATGTGGTGGTGGCCATCTTGGATGTTGATGTGGCAGCCCAGTTTCTGACAGTGGCTGTTCTTACACCTACATGCAGTCACACACCTACATGCAGTCACACACCTACATGCAGACACACACCTACATGCAGACACACACCTACATGCAGTCACACACCTACATGCAGACACACACCTACATGCAGTCACACACCTACATGCAGTCACACACCTACATGCAGTCACACACCTACATGGAAGTCGGACCTCGCTCATTTCTCAAGTTATCAGACTGCAGGGCTCCTGTCCTGCAGCTGAACTTCTTCATCTTGAACGTCTTCTTAGACCACGTTCATTTCAGCTTCCTGTCACCTGAAGCTGTCGGTGACAACATTCTTGTCCACCTCAGCTGTTCCTAAAAAAAACGCTGCACAGAGCTAAAGGAGAGTCTTTGAGAACCATGAGGTTCTACCTGCTCTTCTTTATCTTTCAGAAGGTACAATACAAATATAACAGGTCCAGGATTCTGAGGACCCTCAATAAGGAGACGATGTCATGACTGAGGAAACATTTTGAATGAACACGTCCAACCTGAGTCACTTTTTTTCATTCATTCAACCTTTATTTCTACAGGCTAAACTTTATTATTAAACTTTATTATTAAACTTTATTGAGCATGGACTTTTTGTCTTCAACCAGTTTGACAAGACTGTCAACAAGGAAGAGGCCGGCAATGGAGGAGGGGCGTACCAAAGAGACCATCTTATCACAAGCAGAACTGGTTTGTTCCACTTTGGAGTAAGCTGTTGGGGGAAGAATCAGTTTTGTTGTGTTTCCTTGACTGAAGAAGCCTTCTGGATCGAAGGCGAAACGTTTCAGCACAAAAAAAGAAACTGTCCAGATGACCCGACTGAAAAATGTTGGATTGTGTACCTGGATTATTGAGCATGGACTTTGTTGTTAAACTTTATTATTAAACTTTATTTCTACAGGTTAATCCCACTGAGCCTCGGGACTCATTTACAAGAGAGACCTGATTTTAACAAAGAATGATGACAACACTAGACAATCGTAAAAGATGCGTACAAATTGTATTTATTATTTTTTAACAAATGAAAATAAAATGGTAATTAAAAGGAAAAGTAGTGAAAAAACAGCTAGATTATAAGGAGGTGTAGAAAACAAAAAAAATACTACAAACCGTGACTGAATATTAAAAACTCAAAAGCATTTGTTTCAGTTTTCAAAATAAAATGACAACAAAGAGCACAGGTGGTTACAGAAATAAAAGCTGTGTAATCCTATTTAAAAATGGTTTGTTCAGTGTTGCTGAGAGTGATGAGCCTCTCAAACAGATCTGAACTCGTTACTGTTAGAAACTGTTGGTTTTATTTTTAATAAACAGAAGAAAAGTAACAGCTCATTTATTCTAACGGTTGATTTTCCACTTCCTGTTTTTCTTTCAGTTTATTTAAATAAAATCTGTTTTTGTTTCGTTTGAAGGGGCTGAGATGGTGCAGGGTCAGGGCAGCCCACTCGGGACACAAAGGTCCTGGGCTCCATCACATGTTGTGGTGTGTCTGAACAGGACACCCAATCCCAAATTGCTCCCCGGGCAGCCCACATGGCTGCCCACTGCTCCACCTGGGTGCACCCCGGGTGTGATGGGTCACGTGCAGAGAGCCACCTTCGTCTTTGTACGGGAACAAACAGTGATGACAACACGGGGCACTTTATTTATTCATGCTCTCTGACTCGGAAACCCCTCGAGGCAAATGAGTCATTTGTAAAATGTAAATCAAACTGGTTTGAATTGTTTTTGACATTAAATGTAAATACGTGCGTTTGCATTAGCGTGACCGAAGTCAGATAAGAAGTTGGAGCAGCAGCTGGTCTGAGTCAGACTCCGAGGGACGGGACCAGAACCACCAGGATGAAGACTTTGGAGTGGCTCGTCACAGCGGCTGCAGGCAAGTCCTTTTAGTTTCGCTACGATGGAATTCATGGGGTTCTTCCCAGAGTCCACTCGACGGCTCACGTGTTTGTTCTGGTAACAAAACTGAACAAAACATTTAAACGTAACACTTCACACTTCACATACCATACATGGCCAGGCGAACGTTTTCTGTGTGAAGTCCTGAATGAAACTCTTCTGTTGAAGTTTTCAACGTGTCACGTTCAGCCTGAACAGAAAACTTCTGAGAAAAACAAACGTCCTGCGAACTTTAACCTTTATTCATTTTACCACGTTCAGGCTGATCATTTCAAGAAATTATTAAAACAGCACAAAGAAGGACTTCATCATTTGATGAGCCACGGCTCCGTGAGTGAAGTTCACGTTTGTCGGATCATCGTGTTTGCAGACGATGTGATCTGTGGTGAGAGCAGGGAACAGGTGGAAGAGAACTTGGAGAGGTGGAAGTGTGCACCTGAAAGAAGACATGGGGGTAGTTGGAGTGAGGACAGAGGACACAGAGGACACAAAGGACAGAGGACGGAGTGAGACAGAGGTGGAGGACTCGCTGAGGAGGGAACAGCTGAAAGAAGAAGCTTCATTTTTATCATTTTCAGAAATGTTTCCTCTTCGTCTAGATATTTGTTATTGTTTGAGAATAAATCTCAAAGTTTACCTTTCAGCAGCGTCTTCACACAAACCGTTAATATATATTTCATATGACGGAACACGAGCGGTAATAATTATATTATTATTATTATATTAGCAGCCCATTCGTTTTTATTTGAGCTCCTCGTGTTTCTCCAGAGTTCAGATCCTCAAACTGACAGAAACACGTTGGTTCGGGTCGACTTTAATAATGAAACTGATTAAACTTATTAAAAACGAGCAAAACGCAGCGACCGCACAGAAAGCAGCTGCTCTGAGCGAGTCACCTCTTCATGTGGTTCACGAGCTCAACGGACCAACGAGAACGACTCGCATCGTCCCTGAACGCCCGGTGCTTCATCTCAACGTCTTCGTGGGAAATAAAGTCCTGAAAGGTTTTGTCCATTTTTCATCTTTGCTCTTCTATCAAACAAAATCTATAAAAGACTTCCAGGAGTATTTTTATTTGCATATTAATAGTAAAATTCTGTTTAATCTCCAGATGACATGCTGATCTAAATCTATATCAGACCTGGACGACATATGGCTCATGGGCCAGAAGTGGACCTTGGACGATCTCCATCTGGTCCCACAAATCCTAATTTGAAAGAAAACAACTTAAAAATAAATAAATAAATAAATAAATGAAACCTGCATTTTATTAATGAAATTTAAGGATGTTCAACATTTTGGACAAATACATAAGAAATATTTAGGTTAAGGCTAAACCTTTAGTTTTACGTTTTGTTTGAAGAACTAGCCTGAACCTTAAAAACTTCAAAAAGAAAAATGTGCAAAGATGATTTTGTTTTTTTGTTAGTTTTGTTTTTTGCATATTTGAGCTCATGTATTGTCTGAAGAACCAGTTTACAGGACGTTTGTCTCTTATTATCAAAGAAAAGAGCTACAACGAGAAAAAGCTAAAAGTCTTCCAGATTTTCTGAGGAAACTTATTTTCCAATTCTCCATTCAGTTGTTTAAATACGTTGATGTGTCCCTCTGGACAAATGATGTCCATCCCTGCCCAGTCCTAACCAAAGTGAGACTCCTGTGTCCACTTGTCTCTGTCCTGCAGAAACCTGGACTCTGGACACTGAGACAGAGAAAAGAACGTGTGTATTGAAGTGACCTTCACGTCCGCTGGTCCTCAGACCACAAACGCTGAGTCCATGTCCTCAATGGTAAAAGAAGACGTCCTCCTCGTCAGTGGACGGAGGACACCCCTACCTGGACAGGGCTTCCTTTTTATGGTCTTCACTAAGTGTGTCCTGACATCACATTTTCAAATTGAATACAAGTACAAATACTTCAGTTTGGGTACTTGTCGACACCAAGTACTTAATGAATGAAACACGGAGACTTTAGAAACACGTTAAGAACACGGCGACCAGCCCGACGTTCTAACACTTGCTTTGTTTTAAATGTCTACACTTTGGACGTTTTGTCCTCGGTTATGGAACTGACATCAAAGTACCGCGGTGTTTTCATGAGTACATGCAGGAGAACTTGAGGCTGAGGTATCGGGCCGGTCACAGATGCTGGAGTCAGTGTCAGGGCACCACTCGTCACTCGTCTTGCAGGAGATCAACCAAAATGGACGTGTTAATGAATGAAGTGATGATGATGATGATGGTGACTGTGATGATGATGATGATGCAGTCCAGTAACACCACCTTAGATCTGATCCGTGTGTCTCTGTGTGTGTTGCAGTGCTGTGGGCCGTCGCCCCCCTCACTGAAGGGGGGGTGTATTTCGTGAACGAGCTGAAGAACTGGACCAAAGCTCGGAGCTTCTGCAGGGAGTCCAACATGGACCTGGTGACCCTAAACGGGATCAGTGACCTGAGGATCCTGAGCAGCTTGGTGGATCTGAACAGCATGCTGTCCTTGAGCGCCCAACATGTAAATGTCCCGTGTTGTCTCTGAGTGATGAAGACCATCCCCGGAGGATTTCTCTTGTCGTTCATACTCTGCATTT